CGTGAGGAAACAGAAAACAAATACCCAAATTCGATCAAATGTGCAAGAAAACTATTGTTACCGATTCCATCTTCATATTTAGCTGAATTTAGTGCTGTAAATGATTTTATTGGTAAAAAAAGAAATCGTCTGGATATAACACAACGGGGAGACTTGAGACTGAAGCTAGCAGCAAGCATCAAGGGCAAGAATCTCACTAAATTAAAATAATAAATTATTATAGAAAAATCTTTATTAAAATTATTTCGAATTTTAATTTTAGTTTTTCATTATATGTTCTGAAAATTTACTTACTTTGTTTCGCTTACAATTTCCTAAATTATTCTAAAAATTATGTATATGTTACATAGGGGGGCATAAGAATTTTAGAAAGGCTTAGGTGGGGCATGGTACAAAAAAGGTTGGGAAACACTGATCTAGATAAAACATAATAAATTAGTATTTTCTTAAAATTGAATGCCTAACATACAAAATTGTTTTATTTAAAAGTTGGCCTTCTTTCCTGAAAATTTTGACCACTAAACTAGAGTACAATAAATATTAATTCAACAACAGTTTTAATTATGTTTTAATTAGTTCAAATTGTTTATAACGAGCAGCGATGGCTCAGAGAATAGAGCGTTCGCCTTCCAGTGAGGCGAGCCGGGTTCGAATCCCAGTTGATACGAATTTCGCAACCGGCTGGCACCGACCAGAGTGCTGACATGAAATATCCTCAGTGGTAGGCGAATCATGGGTTAGAATCCCCTTGTCGTCAGGCTAACCGTGGGAGGTTCTCATGGTCTTCCTCCCCATGTAACGTAAATGTGGGTTAGTTCCACCAAAAAGTCCTCCACGAAAGCAAATTTCTCCCAGTACTTGATCCAGGAGTTCCCTTGTCTTCAGGATTGGGTTCAAAATTACAAGGCTACTGAGTTAAACATTAGCAGTCGTAAACCCAAAAATTGGGTCGGCTGTTCAACTACGGTTAGAAAATATTAAAAAAAATAAAACTGTTTATAACGTTATTAAAACTGTTATCATTAAAATTAAAAATGTATTGATCTTTATTAACTCTATTAGCAAGAAAGCCGGAAAAAAATTAAAAACAAAGTTTTTGAAATTACTTAGTACTCTTATATACGTTTAATACGTTTAACTTAATTTTGATTTATAATAAATGTATAAACAATATAATGTTTGTAAAAGCTACTATATTGTTTATACTGAAAGCAAAATAAAAATTAAATTTAAAATTTGCATTTAATGTTTGAAAAAAAAGCAGTATGTTGTTACAACATTAAGCATATTTTAAAAAATTCTTTAACCGTTTATTTTGAAAAACATTAGAAATTTTATGTAAATTAAAATGTTACTTTGAATTGAGAGAGATATGATACGAATTGACTTTCAATAATCAATTTTCATTCCTTTCGTCTAACAAAAATTATCAACAGCAGTTATGATAGTTTTACAGTTAAACTGTATATTGTAAGAAAAACACACACACNAAAAAAAAAAAAAAAAAAAAAAAAAAAAAAAAAAAAAAAAAAAAAAAAAAAAAACGAGAAAACAATCTACGCTCCTTAACAAAAAAATCGACGCACCAAGAAGGAGTCGTCCGATTGAAACGAAAATTGGTAGATAGGAAGACAATGTACAGAATAGTAAATGATTTAAAATTTCAGAACAATTGAATAATTTATTGCAGAGTTACAGTAACAAGTTCAATAAGGTGTTGACCCGCCTCTAGCCTGGATACAAGCTGCCACACGGCATGGCATAGACCGATAAAGCTCCCGGATGGTCTCTTGCGGTATTTCTTGCCAAATTCGATCCAATTGTCGAACGAGGTCATCAACATTCCGTGCCAGATGCAATCGCCTTCCCATCATATCCCAGACATGCTCGATGGGAGAGAGATCTGGTGGTCTGGCAGGTCAAGGAAGAGTTTGACAAGCTTGCAGACAGTTCATAGCAACACGTGCCGTATGTGGTCTGGCATTGTCCTGCTGAAAAACCAGCACAGGGCGCTGCAAAAGGAACGGTAGCAAAACAGGTCTTAGGATGTCGTCGACTTACCGCTGTGGAATTAAGTGTACCTGTAATGACGACCAAAGGGGTCCGGCTGTCAAAGGAAATGGCACCCCAGACCATAATGCCTTGTTGAGGGCCGGTGGGCGTGCAATAGTGAAGGCAGGCTTCCCCCTCTGCACTGTGCGTCTCCAAACACGTCTTCGATGATCGTTAAGACACAGTTGGAAGCGGGATTCGTCGCTAAAGACTATACGTTCCCAGTCGGCATCATTCCAGCCTGATCGAGCCATGCACCACTGTAATCTGGCACCAAGAAGCAATCGGATGATTGCTTCCTGGAACGTCGATTTTTTTCTTATAGAGTGTATTATCATAGACTAATAACACTTTACAAGTATTTTTTAAACTTTTACATATAAAGCTCTATAATCTATGCAAAGATAGAAAACTACCTAATTAACAATTTTCCCCATAGTTGCCGAATATTCGCCTAATTTCTATTTTTTTCAGAAAATGTTTTCATTTACCTTGTCTTTTCTCTTTTTTCTCCTTGCAACTTCAACTTATTTTTCAATATTAAGAATCGTTTTAGCAATTTTTCTTTGACTATTCTAAGTAAATTAGTTAAACTGTTATTGTAATAAATTAAAACGTATCATTAAAACAAGGAAGAAAATACAGGGGCCGCGCTAAGTTTTCGCCTCCTCGCCAAATGCGATAAAATCGTAAATTCGGCGGGAATTTTTTTTTATTTCGGCTTAAGTATTGGCGAATGATCTTTTCTACCGAAAAGAAAAATACAGGGTGTCCCAAAAGGTCGTTTACAAACTTAACATGCTGGTCTGTCATATCATGATGAACAAGNTTTTTATTTCGGCTTAAGTATTGGCGAATGATCTTTTCTACCGAAAAGAAAAATATATGTTCCCCTCAATCCTTAAAAAAAATCAAATTTTCAGAACAAATCCAGTAATTTTTATTCGATTACAGTAATTCCCGTTAGATACGTCGCATAACCAATTACAGTTATATTAAGTCCAGGCAATGTAAGCAACAGGAGAGATTCTGTAAGCATGAGACAAAACTACCGTAAAATACAAATTACCACGTTCGTTGCAGGATCACGCGATATCGCGTGTCATGTTTTTTTTTTTTTTTTTTTTTTTTTTTTTTTTTCCTCCCCCATTTTTTTTTTTTCTTGCAGTTAGTGGCAATAAAACAGATTATGTGTGTAGCAAGATGCAGATCATCATCCAAATATTTTTGCAGGAAATATGCTTTCTCGGGACAATAGCATATACAATAACATAATGTTACCTACGGTTTATTTTTATATTACTTGCTCTAGTCTAAGAAGTTATCAAAAATTAACTCAAACGCTTTCCCTCAAAGGAGACAAAACATCTACATGTTTCATCCCTTCTCTCCATTCATTGCTCATTTACTCCTCCCCAGCTGCAAAATGATTCTTAATTAGAATTTCCATTTTATTAAATAATTCAATTTATAGAAAATTCGCATTTTGATTTGAAGAAAAAATGAATTGTTTAAAAATCAACTATAAGAAATTGTTAAGATTTGCCTTTGGTTAAGAATTTTGATATTTGGTTAAAACTTCTTAAATTTGGCTAATTTTCTGGCTAATAGTTTGAAGTCCTTAGAGCAGACTCTGAAAATATAACATAATCATTTTTTTTGTTTTAGTTGCAATTTTTTAGCTCATCCGCAATCACTTTACTTAATTTTTAAAAAAATTGCCACATCCTTGCCGCAATTACTTCGGGCATTCACCAATACCTAAACCATAAATAAAAAATTTAAAAAAAATTTAGAGACGTTTATGTATTAATGATGCGTATCATACAAAAATAATAAGAGTTAACCCTCACTTAAATTTTTATGCAGCCATTTTTTTATTTTTAATTCTGTCTTAAAATATTTTTTCACTAAGTTTGTTGAATATCTTTCTCATTTAATTTAAAGTAAATAAAAATTTCCTCAAACTAAATTTCACTTTAAAGATATATATTCCCTTATAATATGAGAGAAAAATAACATTTTTCCTAAAAACATGCATTAATTTAAAAGATATATATTCCCTTATAATATGAGAGAAAAATAACATTTTACCTAAAAGCATGCATTAATTTAATCCTTAAAAAAAATCGAAGTATCGTTTTTGTTAATACTAAAAAAATGAATACAAAATAAATTGAGTTTATATCTCTACTCTTCGTAGAAAAAGGAAAAATTTATAAAATATGAAAGTGAATTCTCTCTAAGGATTCAAAATGTATTAATCCGCCTATAAATTAAAATCTTCATCTCTGTAAATGTCACGTGAAGTGATGAATTCTATATATTTTTATTCAACCGCCTTATAAATCTGCATTGAATAAGATATTTTCAGTTTCTTCTGAAACAATGATTCATACTGTTCGCTGATATGAGAAGTCAAGGCTAAATAATTTCTCATAAATCCTCTTGGCTTTTAAAATATACGTTACTTGTTGATTATTTCGCTCATTCCATGTAATGATCGATTAAAATAAAATTCCGAGCAGAAAACGAAACAAGAAATTTATTGGATATTTAATTTAAGTGAAAGTGGTGACGTTTTTCTCTTGCAACAAAAAGTTTTTTTTTATTTGTTAAATAGATATTTCTGTGTAATAATCTTACGACTATTTAATATAAAATCGAATTTTTTAAAATATTGCATTAACATTATTTTTTTTTTTTTACTTTCGGCTCAAGTTAAACACTTTATAAATAAACTATGATTTTCAAACAAATTTAATCATACATTTTAAGACCATTAAAATTAAAAGAAAAATTGTGCATGATTTGCCCCCTCTCGGCCACCGTGGTTTTTCTTGTTCAATCTTTAAGTTCGGCTCTCTCGGCTACTGTGGTTTTTCTATTTTTGTTTGTCACCTTTATTTTTTTGTGGCAACTCTACATTTTCTTGTTCAAATCACCATTGTTTCTTCTCATTCACGTGCGGCAATTCCTCCGTTTTCGAGCGTTTAAAACATGTCGATTGTTGTTTCTTATTTATGTATTTTTGAAGCGAATGAAATTTTTAATCAAATGATGCCTTACCGCTACAGTTTCTTGGGATTTTTTATATAATAAATGAAAGTATAGTAAGCATGGGGATAGTGAGTAAAACATTGGAACGACATCTCCCAGTACTTCAGCAAAGAAAAATAGAAGAGAGTAGTTAAATGAAATATTTATAAAAAATTCCTCTCGTGGGATCTATATAAAGAAAATATTTCCTACATTTGAAGGAAGAAACCTGTCCATTCAACCAACAATAACCATACTATTTCCTATACCTTCCCCAGAACCGTAAGTCAATTCCTCAAAGTCTGCTTTACTTTTATTTATTTTTTTTATTTATTCTCTTAAATTTTTACCAGTTTAGACTTTTAACAACAATCACATGAGTTTTCCCATTCTCCTTATCAATTTACTTCTAGCCTCCAAAAAGAGGGTTTACTCCTCAACCCCTCATTATACCCACATTTCGAATAACCATAATTTTCTTTAAAAACTTTCGTAAAACCATGGTTTTCAATCATTTTTTTTTTAAATTTTTGTTATTCAAATGAAGATTCGAATGTTAGTTTTTCTTCTTCTCAAATTTATGTTTGTCTTAAATAACAAATATAGTCTCCCTCCCGATTGTCCCCTCCCCCTAAAACCAAACTTTTTAAGGGTATTTTTCGTTTAGTTGGGACACAACAGCAACGAGTATTTGTTAAAAAGTTATGTATGGATTACAACGATTTTTTTTTCTTCGAATTTTTAAGCAATTAAAATTTCGAAACTGACTCTTAACATTTCGATACTAATGGAAATTTTACATAAAACTAAAGTAGCAATCTAACAAAGTTTTTAGAAAAAATTGGAAACAAATTTATCGATTTTAATATAAAATTCACCATTTTCTAATGATATTAATATCCAAGGTTTCATATTTTTAGTTACAATGAATATCAGTAGTAGTAGTGGCCTCTGCTATAATGTATTTAAGGGCATGCAAGCTTAAAACATTGCACTGATAAATACATAAAGATTGAAAAAATATGTCTGAAAATTTCCTTCAGTTCTTGAATATGGAATAAATGATAGATAGGATAGTCATTTTGAAAAGTAACTATCATTTATTGGATGTGAAAACAATGGCCAAATGAATTGTGTAATGTTAAGTATACCTTGCATCAGAAAGGTTCTGGGCTCGAATCCCGGACAAGGAATGAATGTTCTTTCATTCTCTGTACTATCTGTCCTTACTGTGGGAGCATCGTTGACCCTCCTGATGTGGTGCCCCTGAAAAAGTGGCCAGCAAATCTGCCCTAATGCGCCTGAATTGACGAAATGTCAACCCAGGTGGGCGTTGGAGAAAACAAACTTAGGCCGACCGGACTGAGTAGGGGTCAGTGAACTAGCCTTGCATCAGAAAGGTTCTGGGTTCGAATTCCGGGCAAGGCATGGGTGTTCTTTCATTCTCTGCACTATCTGTCTTTACTGTGGGGGCAACGTTGGCTCACCTAATTTGGTGCCTCTGAAAGGCAAATCTACCTCGTAAATGCCCGAATTGACGAAATGCTAACACAGGTAGGCATTGAAAATAAAAAAAAAATATTAAGTATACCCCGTCTTGTCTCCCTCTCGACTTTTCGTTAGGTTATTTTTTATTTATTTATTCTTGTACAGAAAAACTTGAATGGTACGAAAAAAAATACGAAAGACAAATGGTAATAATAAAAGATTTTAATTTTATAGCTACTGTAAAAATAAAATAAAAATATAAGTTAGTGACTCAGAGAGTTCGGTTCTGTTATTGGGTTAGATACCTAGAGTAATGAAATTTTATTTTTTAAAAAAATCAAACTTATTTAATAACATCATTTTTATTGAGCTGACAAATAATTGATTTTCATTCTAAGAAATAAACCTGAATGTGTAATTCTCATAAAAAAGAAACTTGGGATATAATTATTAGAAAAAGATCAACTTTCTACTAAATTTAAAAAAAAAAAAATTCAATTTTTTTACTCTGTTTGATGATTATTTTTACTTCGTATAAACTTTTCATCAGCGTCGAAATAATAAGAGTCATAATCTAAATTTTGATCGCTTAAAAAGTTAAAATACTTTGCTACTACTGTACTTTATAATGTATAAATATATTTGAAGCATTTCTTTTTATCTTAATTTCCATTTCAAACATTTCTTTCATTGTTTAAAATCAACAATATCAAAATATTTACAACAATACTTTGGAAAATTGAATCAAGAAGTATATCGTCAGACATTGTTGAATGGTTCTTAATTAAACGTATTTAACGAAAAAACCTTTGTTATCAACAGCAACAATAGATAAAATAAATTTTAACAAATCATTCTTATTGAAGCCATTTTGAATGAATAGCGTCTTTTTTGACAAATTCTTAAAACTTTGGTAAAATGAGTGAATTATATCGCTTTGCTCTGCTGAATTATTGGCAAAAAGAGCTTAGAGAACATCCGAGACCTTTTCGTAAGTGCTTATATATTTTTTTGTAATTTTAAACTTATTTTAAAAACTGAGCTTAAACATGATTAGGAAGAATTTAAAACTTGATGAAAATTACTAGCCTTTCATAAATTAGTTCAGACAATTACTTTTTTTGTGAGAAAGGAATTTAAATTGTCTAAATTGTAACTATAATTTTTGCTATTATTTGTAAAAGTTTCCAATCCTTATTAATTTAAGAATAAAAATTCATCGATAACGTCAGCTTTAACGCAAACGCAAAATATTTAAATGAAAATATAGAAGGAAATTTATGAACAAAATGTACAGTTTCTACTTTTCTGGGTAAAATCCAAGCTTACGGTAAAGCGTACCTTGGTACTATTTTGAAAAATGTCGTCAATGCCGAAATGACGCGTAGGAGCTTGTCACCAAATTCTAAAATACAAATGCAAATTGGCTAGAAAACAATAAAGGCCTGGTTTGGTCTGAGCACCTTCAAGTATATTTTTCCCTCTTAGGACAGGCCGACTAAGCTTGAACGACGACTGACGACCGAATCAACTGCAGACCGATTACAACGTAACGTTAACGACAGAAGCAATGGCGGACAACATCCAACAGAGCATTGAAATCAGCCAAGATTTTCATTTTAACATTAAACAGAGCTTCTTCTTCCTCTTCTTCATTTAGCTAAGCTATAATGTGTTTTTTCTTGGACAAAGTCATTATTTGTTCTCTAAAGCACTGGTCGACAATAACAAAATCAATACAAATTCAAAATAAATATTTGTTTACGTTATTAACGCGTGCGCAATGCGATATAATGGCTGCGTTGGACCGATTGCAAAACAGTATTTTGTTGGCGTCAGCGGTACGTCAAATTCCGCTGACGCCCAAAGAAGGCGCTTGTCTTAAGAAACCAGGCCTTTACCCACCGAATATCACCAAATCTACTACAGATTGCAAACTTTTCAACCCTCCAAAACATCGCCAATGTCACCAAGTTCTCCATATGTTATACTAGGATAAACCCCTTTTATTTCAATAGTCAATGCAATGTTTCGGTAAATTACAGTTGGGTGCACCTCTTATTTCGGCAATTTTTTTTAATGTTTTTGCAGAAAACAGATAAAATAAGTTAAAAAGTGAGACTTTCTAATAATAAGAAATCGTGATAGAAATAATAGGAAAATCGAAGAATTTGTGTATAGTAAAAGCTCAAAGTTACAGTACACAATTCAAGGGAAACCCTTTCCTTCACTCCAACCACAATTTCGATTAAAATTCTTTTAAGCTTCAAAAAGAATGAAGTATTTGCGTAAAATTAAAGCATATTTTCTTCTCATTAGAAAATAACTTAATAAAAGGGAACTTTTCAATAATGGTATTAATAAAGACTATAATCTGCGCAACTGAAAAACTCCCTTTACCTATCTTCTGGAGCACTATCAATGACTATGGCTACGAGTTATAACTCTTTCAGCTACGGATATGTCGAAAAAATTAAAGACAAGTTTTGACAGGAGTTGGCGAGGAAAATATTAAAAGTTCCCCTCCACCCCAAAAAAATTAGCNCCTTTGATGCACCCTCTTACTCCTTTTTGTAAAAATGAAGTGCCATCCCTTAAAAACACTGCTTTTTTATTCATATTCCATTAAAAAATATCAATTTACTGTTTAAATAATAATTACACACTGTTAAAATTATCTGTGTTTATAGGTTTAATTCTGATTACTATTACAAATGTTAATTTTGTTAGTATTTTCTATGTAGGATTTTTTTCTTCTTTTTCCCGAGGAGAGAAAGTATATTGATAAATTTGATTAAGTGATTTGCTAAGCTATACTGTGTTTTTTCTTGGACAAAGTCATTATTTGTTCTCTAAAGCACTGGTCGACAATAACAAAATCAATACAAATTCAAAATAAATATTTGTTTACGTTATTAACGCGTGCGCAATGCGAGATAATGTCTGCGTTGGACCGACTGCTCACGCTGAGCTTACAAAACAGTATTTTGTTGGCTTCAGCGGTACGTCAACTTCCGCTGACTCCCAAACAAGGCGCTTGTCTTAAGAAACCAGGCCTTTACCCACCGAATATCACCAAATCTACTACAGATTGCAAACTTTTCAATCTTCCAAAACATCACCAATGTCACCAAGTTCTCCATATGTTATACTAGGATTAACCCCTTTTATTTCAATAGTCAATGTAATGTTTTGGTAAATTACAGTTGGGTGCACCTCTTATTTTGGCAATTTTTTTTAATGTTTTTTCAGAAAACAGATAAAATAAGTTAAAAAGTGAGACATTCTAATAATAAGAAATCGTGATAGAAATAATAGGAAAATGGAAAAATTTGTGTATAGTAAAAGCTCAAAGTTACAGTACACAATTCAAGGGAAACCTTTTACTTCCCTCCAACCACAATTTCGATTAAAATTCTTTTATGCTTCAAAAAGAATGAAGTATTTGCGTAAAATTAAAGCATATTTTCTTCTCATTAGAAAATAACTTAATAAAAGGGAACTTTTCAATAATGGTATTAATAAAGACTATAATTTGCGCAACTGAAAAACTCCCTTTACCTATCTTCTGGAGCACTATCAATGACTATGGTTACGAGTTATAACTCTTTCAACTACGGACATGTCGAAAAAATTAAAGACAAGTTTTGACAGGAGTTGGCGAGGAAAATATTAAAAGTTCCCCTCCACCCCAAAAAAATTAGCTTCTTTTTGTTTCCATAGCAGCCAACAACCCCGAAGTCTGAGGCGGGAGGAGTTCTTTAAATAGAACAAAGCAAAATTTATTTTAGAAACCATGTTTCTTCCCTTCTGGAAAAATGTCATTTCAATTTTTTAAAAGAATGAAGCAGAAATGCATTTTATCAGTTATATGTTCATTTTTTTTTATCTTTAAGGAGCATTTACAATTTTATTTAATAATAGTTTATAATAATTAATTTTATTTAATAATAATCGACGAAAATTTAAATTGTAGTGGTGTTTCAGGTCATGTTTCAGGTCATTATAAAGCATGCAATTTTACATGGCAAAATACTAAATGTGAGCGAAATCAGTTGTATAGTTCCTGTAATATCGAATTTTGAAAAATCTTATTTTTCAAAGTCAATTTCTCAGGCGCTCTTCGAACGATTTCACAGAAGTTTTATATTTTATCATGTAAAATAGTATTTTATCATGCAAACGTTATTCAAGGGAGTTCGCTTTTTTTTTTCTTCCTTCTTTTTCTTTTTTGGTGCACTGTACACGACCCTTAAAGAAAACTTTATACACCATTTGCTTACAGCCGTTTTTCCTAGATAGTGTTTGCCATAAACATCGAACATAATGATAAATAAACGTTTGCATTTCGCTAATTTTTTTTCAGGGAAAAACTTACTACTGTGATAGAGTTTTTTTCCGGGCCCATCCTTCTTACCACCATATTTCATTCCTTCAAATGGGCTCAGGGGACTGTTTAATCAATTAAACACTCCCTAATCTCTTATCTTTATCTACCTTAACCTTAGGGTGGTGATGCGATCACTACTGCATTTTTGAGGCTGTCTACTTTTTATTTGGACAACCCTTACATTTTTTAACAAAAACATGTTAAGTTGAAACATAATTTCTTTTGTCATTTTAGCTAGTGAAGAGGGCGAGGATAGAGACACCAGTTCCAGTTCTTCTGGAACTGATAATGGGTATGTAGATGTTTGTGTTTTAAATATTTAAAATAAATTTTCGTGACATAAATATTTTCACGTTTTAGGGTCAATTTATTTGGCATCCAAAACAATAAATAGTAAGCCGAAAAATCAGATAAGAAAGAATCATCGAGTTATATAGTCCAAGATCTTGTGTGTTGTTGTCTTATGCCACTTGTCAATACAGACAAGCCCATTTTAAGGCAGAGGGTACACTTCTTTTTTTCCAGTGGCTCCATCTATGCCCAAGAATTTGACTTTTGCCACACACATATGTCCCAGCTCATTTTACGGGGAGGACACATTCTCACACCATCCATCTCTTCGTCGGTCGTAATTTTGGCCTATACCAGAGCACTTATCAATCTCCGTAACTCCAGAGGTACTGATGTGTTATGGGAACTCGGAGAAATTTGTAACCCCGACAGATGTAGCGTGTAAGAGTCATTATTGTGCACACGTGGAGTTTTCGGCCGTAAAAAATATCATTTATATCATGAACTTTAAAATCTTTAAATGATAAAGAAAAAAATACACTGAATATTATTTCGATGAAAATAATATTTAAAAAAAAAAGAAGTGTTACTTAATATCATAAACTTTAAAACCTTTAAATGATAAAGGAACAAAAACACTTTACATTACTTGGAAAAAAATATTGCAAATATGAAACAAATTTTAGTTTATATCATAAACTAAAACCTTTGAATGATAAGGGACGAAATATACACTGTTTTGAAGAAAATAATGTGAATATGATAAAGATCTTCGCTTATGTCATATGACATATATTATGTCATAAACTTATTTATGTGTAATAAACTTTAAATAATAAAGGACGAAATACGCTTTACATTATTTTTAATAAAATAATATAAAACCTTGAGAAAGCTTAATTTTTATTATACACTTAAAAACGTTTAAAGGATAGTGGATGCAATACACTTAACATTATTTCGACGAAAATAATATTAGAACGAAAGAAATGTTACTTAATATCACAAGCTTTAAAACCTTTAATTGATAAAGGACGAAATACATTTTACATTATTTTAAAGAAAATAATATTAAAACGAAAAAAATATTAATTTATATCATGAACTTTATAACTTTTAAATAATTAAGGACGAAATACACTTTACATTTTTTTCAAGAAAATAGGGCAAAAATGAAAGAAATCTTTATTTATATCATAAACTTTATATGATAGATAACGAAATGCACTTTACATTGTTTTCTAGAAAATAAAGCAAAAATGAAAGAAATCTTAGTTTATGTTACAAAATTTAAAACCATCAAGCAATAGTTAATGAAATATACTTCACATTTTTTTTGAAATTTCGCGTTGTAACTGAAAACTGATGAAAGCACTTGACATTTTTTTTTTTGTATTTATAATTTTAGTGAAAGAGCAGACAATTTCGATGATGAAAGAGAATCAAGATCTATCAATTATCATCCATTTATGGAGGAATCTAATCCAACAGAAGATTCCAATATGCCTGATCTTGATAGTAGTACTAGGTAATTTTAATTTTAATCTTCTCTTTAGTATTCAGTTTATAATATTTAGTTAAACAAAAAAAGACCTAGGCGCAAAACAAGCTACATCATGGACAGTGGCATCCTACTGATTAAAAATTAATAAACATCAACTCAAGACTAAAATAAAACAAGTTCAAAATGAGAAAAAGAATACCAAGGTGGAGCTCCACATATAAAAACAAACCATTTCTAGAAATCTTCCACCAAGTAGGCAGTGGTGATTTCTATCTAAACTAGCTTTTGACTGGCGACTGTCTACTCAAGTCTCACCGTAATCGATTGTTGATAAAGCACGAATTATGAGCTGACTGCAATTAAAATGAAGACAGAACGAACGCACGTGGTGTTTGTCTGCTCAGAATGTGATTAAGTGAGCGACCATAACTTGAAGAACATGACAAAAATCAGTGACTTTAAGGTGACCAAACATCATCAAATCCTGAGGACAATTCTCAAATTCCAATGTTTGTTCTCAAATCCTTTCGAATACTTTGAGCACAGAAAATGTTTTTAAATCATAATATAGGTCCTCTTTGTCCGAAAACATCGCATCGTTTTTTACATACATAGAAATAGCGAAAAAAGTATAAATGAGCATGTTTTTTTAAACAAGGTAATTTCGCCTTACAAGATAATTTTGTCTTGAAATTAAAAAAAAAAAAAGAAATCTGTCTTCTNAAAAAAAAAAAAAATAGAAATCTGTCTTCTGAATTTAAGTTTTAAAACCTTTAAATGAATGTTGGAAAAGGAGCATTTAACAATATTTTGAATATGAATTACAACAAAAGCCTGATGAAAAAGAACACTTTAATTGACATTTTTATCCTATAATTTTAGTGATGAATCGTCTGGCTCTGATGAGGGAATTGGAACAGGAAATATTACTCATGAGTTATTCGTGAATGAACAGAATCAAATAGATGGTTCTGATGATTGTGAACCTGCTATTATTAGGTAAGTTTTAATATTTTTGACTATTATGCTTTTCATAATATTTAATTAAATAAGTTTATAAGTATTTAATTTAATTTTCGACATGCTACATTTATCTGCTTTCTTTCTTTATGATTTGTGTAATTAATATGAATCAAAGTAGTATAAATTTAAAATAATTTTTACGGGTCAAAAACGTGCATTAATGATTTCAATTGGCTAATTTCTTATGGAAAAGATAGAATTCTTTTAATAAAAATCACTATTCACTTTTAATAACTACTTAATCAATGAATTATAAATTGCACTTAAAAAGATAGAAATCTGTCTTCCTAATTTAAGTTTCAAAACTTTTAAATGAATGCGGACAAAAAAGCATTTAACAATATTTTAAAAATAAATTACAACAAAAGCCTGATGAAAAAGAACATTTCAGTTGAAGGTTTTCTCCTATAATTTTAGTGATGAATCGTCTGACTCAGATGATAAAATTGAAGCAGGAAATATTACTCATGAGGTATTCCTAAATGAGCAGAATCAAATAGATGGTTCTGATGATTGTGAATCTGCTATGATTAGGTAAGTTTTAATATTTTTGGCTATTATCCTTATCATAAAATTTAATTAAATAAGTTAACAAGTATTTAATTTAATTTTCTACATGCTACATTTATCTGCTTTTTTTCTTTATAATTTCTGTAATTAATATGAATACTAAGAATCAACAATTAAAAACTGTTTTTACTGCCCTAAAAGGTTCGTTAATGATTTCCATTGGCTTATTTCTTTTGAAAAAGATTGAATTCTTTTGAAATTTATTATTAATATCTATTGTAGTATCAATATAGTTTATATAACTGTCTAAAAAAGCATTTCTCACTGAATTCAAACTTTAAAATTTGGTAGTTAAAGATGATTTTCAACAAAAACCAAATGTTGCGATGTCTTAAACTTACTCTTAACTATATCAACGTTTAGCGTATTTTCTTAGCTTTTTATACAGCAAAATTCTTCAATTACAGTTCCTTAGTTTTACGGACCAAAAGCGTATATGAATGATTTCAATTTGCTTAATTCTTATGAGAAAAAGAGAACTCTTATTAAATCTATTATAGTTTAAATATAGCTTATAATTACTGATTACAGAAACTACTATTTTTCAATTAAATAAAATTCCTAAATTTAATAGATAAGAATGGTATGCAACAAGAAGCAAGTTTTTATGTTGTCTGAAAAAATCTTACTTTTAAGTATATAGAAATGAGCTTCAAAATAAGTACTACAATACGTAAGTTTTTGTGATGGCTTAAGAAAACTTACCTTTGACTATAGAGATGTGGTCATATTACTGTTAAACGTATTTCAGTAGCCTCTTCTACAAAAAAATCTTTCATTACAATGTAATTCTAAAAATAAATATTAAACATTTACATAGCGAATAAGCATTCTTCTGAATTTAGCCTATAAAATACTTGAATGAATATTGCAAAACCAGCATTATTATTTTTTCAAATATGAGTTACAATAAAAACCTGATAAAAAAATAAACACTTTTTCTTCTCTAATTTTAGTGATAGAGTGTCTGATTTGGAGGAGGAAATTGAATCAGAGAATGAAACTAATCAGGCAGTTGTGGATAGTCAGAATCAATCAGATGGTTCCAGTGATTCTGATCCTACTGTGATCAGGTTATTATAAATAATTTCCATCTTATTATTTTCTAAATATTTATTTTAATAAGAGTAAAACTATTTTATATAAGATTTTTTGTATTTCCATTTTTGATTTTACCTTCGATTCGTCTAAACGATATATAAATACACACAAATCAACACGACAGTTTGAATTTAAAGAAGTTCTAACGAGCAAATATGTATGAAAGATTGAAGATTTCAATTGCGTTGAAGTCTTCAATCATTCTATTGGCTTTATTTTAGTGAAACCATATGAAAGGTTTCAACTGACTTTATTCCAATTGAGAATATGGAATGATTGCCTTTATTTATTGTTTAAAAAAATCTTATTAAATTATGATTATTATAGTTTTAAAATATTACCTTTTTTTACTTAATTCAAAACTATAAATTATAAAAAAAATTATCAAAGCTAAAATAAAGCTCCACATATATATAAAGAAATAGAGTATGCAATGAAAAGAACAAGTTTTTATATGATTCAAAAAACTATTTTTAAAAAAAGGGCTAGATATCTTACTTTAGAGTTTAAACTATGAAACCTTTTAATGAATGAAACAAAATTCACTACACAGTTTTTGCCTGATGAAAACCCATTTTAGTTTATGTTTTTCCTCTTTAGTGATAGACTGTCTGATTCAGATGATTAAATTAAAACAGAGAATATAATATATGTTGATGATCAGAATCAAATAAATGGCTCTAATGATTCTGATCCTACACTCTTAGAAATTTCACGGAAAAATGGTTAAATAGCAATTTATTTAACTGTTGTTTTACCATTTACAGGCAAAACAGTGAAATAATTACAAATAAGGATGGTATTCAAACTGTTAACTGTCAGAAAAAACATTTATTAACTGCTTTCTCCTAATACGGTTAGGCAACCAGAATTTTATCACACCAACTAGGCCCACCTAATGAGGCCACTTAGTTCCCTGTAGCTGAATACATATTGGAGACTAGAGGGCTAATCTGTTTATCTCATGATGGACACAACGGGGGTTCAAATCTCAGCGTTAATGCCACAATATTTCCTTCATTCCCTTCAACACATGAAAAGTTTCCAGTGTCCTGCACTCCCCAATTTTATGACTCTAAGCTGCTACACTACGATATTTTTATTCACGCATAGAATAGAATAGAATAGAATAGAATAGAATAGAATAGAATAGAATAGAGTAGAATAGAATAGAATATAATAGAATATAACTGATTAGCACAAACAAATCTAGCATTTCCTATCTCTTACGATAGATATGAAATAACCAGATAAACTAATTATATTCTATTCCACGGCTCATTTGATTAAACACAACTCAACCACAACCTTACTCCAATGACCATTATCTAACGAAACGCCTACCTCCACCGTCCAGTTGAATTTCTTTTTTACGGTTTTGAAAATAGGCTAGTTGTAAAGGGTTAAAAACCCGCATATTTTTGTATTCATAGTTCTAACAGTATCTTCTGTTTTTTTTTGTCATAAACTTTACTGTTAATGGGAATGGACAGACTACTACCGGTTATTTTACCGTAATTTTAGAATGAAAATCCTAACAATGTAGTGTAATCAGGTAGTTATTAATAAATTCTAACTTATTGTGTTCAAAATATTTGCTTTGTTATGATTATAAGTATTAAGTATAATTTTTTATGTATTTCAATAGTTCGCATTTCTTGATGAACGCATTCGCATTCTTGATGAACGTAAACTATTTGAAAATTCCTTGAATCAACAGAATATGCATTTATATCAGTTTTACTGAGCAAGAAAGTACATAATAATTTTAATTTTTTTCTAATGAAAAGAAAACAGTTCTTTTTAAATTTATTAATAATTTACCACACATTATGAGTTGGAAAAATAATTCTTTTTAACTGAATTCACAGTTTCAAATTAAATAAATAAAAATGGTAGGATCACAAAAGAAAACTTTTTACCGTCCTTTAAGAAAACTATATTTAAGTTTGGAATTAGGACTTGCCTTTTTTACTGTCTTATTATTCGAAAAATAATGTTAAATAGCATAACAACATTTCAATAATTAATATTAATAAATTAAGTACTACTTCTTGTTACAAGGATGAAAAAATATTGATTTTAACAACATTAACATAAACTTACATGAAGTATAAAGCTACCATGATTACACATCAAACAGGAAGCTAACATTATTAATAGTTTGAGCCCGCAAAATGATGAAAAAAACTTTAACTTTAGTTACCGTACGTAAAGATTTATTTTTTTACATATTTTTAGCACTGAACCTCGTGATGTGATTGATGAAATAAAACAGGATGAGGCAACTTTGGAAGAACCAAATGAAATGATAGGCACCATTGATATTGGTGCTACTATAAAGAGGTAATTAAAACAATTTTTATCTTATTTAAATCATTGTGTTCATTATAAGAGTATAATTTATAATTAATATTATATTTAAACTATTGTCATCCAAATATAATAAAAAATTTCAAATTGTTACTTTTAAATTATTCAGTTGAAATAACAGTTAATCTATTTTTATTTATTTAATTTTCTTCGTGGTTTGATAATTCGTATCGTATCATGCATGCAGTTTTTCACTCTGTAATGAATTAAAATCCAACCTGCTTCTTTTTAAATTCTTTAATCAATTCACTCTAATCAACACTGTCGAAACTTAACCCTTTGACGCAGAATTTCTTTAAAACCTATTTTTCATTATTTTGTACTAATTTAGGTCAAAATAAGTGAAAAAATATTTAATCTAGCATTTTAATAATTCATGGTTATGAAATACAGCATGAAACACCGGTGTCCTTTTTTTTGCGTTCGAGATAAAATTTTCCAAACCCGGCTCACTTCCGAACAATAATTTTAAATTTGCAAATATTTAGATCTAGGCGAAGCAGTTGTTCATCATTGATTTTTCTTCTTAATTTACAAAATCAATATTTGATAAAATTTTGAATATGAATGAAAAAAAATTTCAAACAACTTGGTAGGTGGTATCCACTCTTTCAGGACCACCACAATGGGTGAGATACCGTTGGTCATGTTGATTTGGACATCTAGTTTCTGCCACACTAGATGGCAGCACCGAGACTCTATTTGGATGCTAAAGTGCACTAGGAATTTAATTTTTTCGGAAATGCCAAGAGCCAATAAGGTACTCCAGGGATCTTTTACATGCCGCATAACATTGGATATAGTTTAGCAACTTTATGGTTTTGGCATTTATAGGTGAACGAGAGTATCGTATTCTAACAGCCCAGGGTCACAAATTGGGGAGAGCAGGATACTAGAAACTATATTTTTTTATTAATATAAGTAAACCTCATTCTCATGTTGCATAAAATAAGTATACATATAATCATTAATATTGCTATGATCACAAATGTACACAAGTAACAAAGTGCTTAATTTCATAACTGAGTCAAAATTTTAATAGCGGTAACACCCAAAATTCGATATCATAATTTTTAAATTTTTTGTTGTTTTTTGAGAAGTATATATTATACAAAACAATAGCCCAAAACGATTTTTTTTCATTTAATTTATTTTACAAGATATTAACAATTAAATTTTAAAGCTCTTTTTAATTAAAAAATAAATATCTAAGNGTTAATATCTTGTAAAATAAATTAAATGAAAAAAAATCGCTTTGGGCTATTGTTTTGTATAATATATACTTCTCAAAAAACAACAAAAAATGTAAAAATTATGATATCGAATTTTGGGTGTTACCGCTATTAAAATTTTGACTCAACTGCGAGTATGCGTGTCGTGTGACAAGGGACATGGGAAATGAGAAGAGAAATGGAGGAGGTATGATCAAGTGTGACAGTTTGTGACAGGTCAAGAAATATAAAAATATTGAAACAATGTATGATATCATTCATGGAGATTTGTGAAGTAATTCGACATATTATTCTAGCAGGAAAACTAGAACAAAAATAGATTTTTTTGTCGTCCTAATGTGTCGAAAACAAATCACATTTTTCATAGTTTCAAAATTATATTTTTCAAAATTAAGAAAATACTTTATTCATAATTAAAAATATTTATGTTTCATAATTAGAAATATTTTTTTCATAGTTTCATAGTCATAAATTGGGTGGATTAAAATAGTATGCCAAATAAACATATTTTCAAGCTATGCAAGGGAAACAATTTGTTTAGTTAATTCTAAGATAGTCAATTTCTAAGATAGCTCATGCGCTTATTGTTTTGAGCACATGAAAAAAAATTTCTTAAAGTAGTTTCGTTGCTAAAATTTTTTTATTCGCATTCGTTTATGTTTTGTGAAATTGCTTTGCCTTATAAACGTCTGTTGTTTGATTTCCAAACAAACAAATTAAAGACAGAAAATGCGTGGCTCTAACAAAACACTAAAATAAGAAGTTGAAAACAATTTAAAACTTTAATAGCTTGAAAAGTTTTTGAATTTAAGTAGGAAACTTTAAAATTTATTTCAATCTCTATCAAATTCGGAAAAGCACTTTAATGCAGCAGTGTATAAAAAGAAAACAGGCAAGGCTAACTTAATTAATCTGATTTTTTTCCCTTTAATCTTAGAATAAATAGTTGCCTTCAGACCTATGTTATTGATTTAATTAACGGTTTTTTCCTTTAATTTTAGAAATGAAGATTGCCCTCATACCTATGTTATTGATTTATTAATGATTTTTTCTTTTAATTTTAGAAATGATGGTTGTCCTCATACCTATGTTATTGATTTAAGAGAAAAGAGGCTTTTGGCGGAGTCTTCCAAAGTGAAGAAACGTTTGGCTGGTGAAGAAAGCTTTAAAGAGAACAAGCGCTTGGCGCAAAAGAAGAAGGGGTTTCGCTCCTTCATGAGACAGCTTTTTACTAGCTGTTACAAGCGAATGTAAACTATGAGATTGTCATTATCCTGAATTGAGTCACCACCAAGCCTATTGAGTCATTATGAACGTTATCTAGTCATTATGAACTTTCATGAGTCATTGCGAACTTTGTTGAGTCGTTATGAACTTTCCTGAGTCATAATGAACTATGCTATTGCGTCATGAACTTTAATGAGTCATTATGGGCTTCATGATTATGAAATTTATCGAGTCATTGTGAACTTTATTGAGTCATTATGAACTTTGTGGAGTCAAAATGAACTTTATTAAGTCATTATGAACTTCGCCATTATGAACGTTTCTGAGACATTAGGAAACTTATTGAGTCATTATGAACTTTTGTGAGTCATTATGAGCTTTTCTAAGTCATTATGAACTTTTCTAAGTCATTATGAACTTTGTTGCGTCATTATGAAGTTTCCTGTATCATTAAGAGCTTGGATGAGTAGTTATTTACGTTACTACTTTAGTATGAAATTTATGAAGGCATTATGAACTTTATTGAGTCATTATGAACTTTTATTAAGTCATTATGAACTTTGCTGAGTCATTATGAACTTCGCTAATCTGAGCTTTGTCGTGCTATTATATACCAAAATTTGATTTATATTATTATTTGTTCTTTAAATCAAATATTGTACTGTCGAAAAAAAAATAAAAAGACAAAAAAAAAAAAAAAAAAAAAAAAAAAAAAAAAAAAAAAAAAAAAAAAAAAAAAAAAAAAAAAAAAAAAAAAAAAAAAAAAAAAAAAAAAAANGAACTATGCTATTGCGTCATGAACTTTAATGAGTCATTATGGGCTACATGATTATGACATTTATCGAGTCATTATGAACTTTATTGAGTCATTATGAACTTTGTGGAGTCAAAATGAACTTTATTAAGTCATTATGAACTTCGCCATTATGAACGTTTCTGAGACATTAGGAAATTTATTGAGTCATTATGAACTTTTGTGAGTCATTATGAACTTTTGTGAGTCATTATGAACTTTTCTAAGTCATTATGAACTTTAATGCGTCATTATGAAGTTTCCTTTATCTTTAAGAACTTGGATGAGTAGCTATTTACGTTGCTACTTTAGTATGAAATTTATGAAGACATTATGAACTTTATTGAGTCATTATGAACTTTTATTAAGTTATTATGAACTTTGCTGAGTCATTATGAACTTCGCAAATATGAGCTTTGCTGTGCTATATTATATACCAAAATTTGATTTATATTATTATTTGTTCTTTAAATCAAATATTGTACTGTCGAAAAAAAAATAAAAAGACAAAAAAAAAAAAAAAAAANAACTAATACTAACGCCACTGTTGACAACATAACAGCTTAATACGCAGAAAAATCTTATAGCCTACATGAAAAACCAGATATTTTTCACTATCTATCTGAAAATGATCTACAATCTGAAAATGTGGCTTATTATTACATTATCCTCAAACCTTTCAATTTTTGAATACCTAACGCTAAATTTCGTAAAGATTTTAGCTGTATTATTCAACTGTTGAAACACCTTAATTTGCTTTCGTGAGCGGTTCTTATATGTATTTTTAGATTCTTTACCAAAAGAGAAAATTAAAAAAACACACACATGGCGGGTAAAAATTAATATTTATGTCAATAAATAACCAAAAGCAGTGTCGAAATCTGACATCAGTACAGGAAGGTGAATGTAATAAACAACTAGACATGTCTGATTAATTGGAGGCAACAAAGATGAATTCGAAGACAATTATTAGAACTGCCATCAACTTTCAATCGGTTACTTTACGTAATTTTAGAATGATAATTCTAACAGGGTACAGTGCACAAAATTAAAAAAAAAGCGGAACACCCTAGATAACTTTTGATCTAATGTTCTGGCATTCACGTGCTAAGACTTAAGTTTATTGGTTGGAAAGTCTGACTTTAATATCTAACATTAATTTAAGATACGAAATCTGACACAAAATCGTGCTTTCCCTGACTAGAGATAACTTTATTTTCAACCGACTCGGATCCCGACCCCCAAAATATGAGGAAAGCCGCAATCTGGAAAATAGGGTGTCAATAGTTTGGTCAGAAGAAGGTTCGAAACTTTGAATCCCTTAATGTTAATTTTGCTTTTCGTGTACTTTGCCATGTCTCGAGAACTTTTATAGCAAATCGAAAAATGTTTACCCCATTTATAAAATAGGTGTATCCAAAGAAAATTCTAAAAAAAGAATAATAATTTTCAATAAATATTTACTATTTTTTGTTATTCTATTTAATGATTGTCTGATAAATATCGAATTGAATGGATGAAAAGTGTGCAAATTTTACATAATTATAAAGAATGTAATCTTAAATGGCGAAAAACAAAATTTGAGAGCAATTGAGAGAATAGCTTTTGAATTACAAAATTTTAAAAAAGTCTCATATATATATATATATATATATATATTTGTAATTTTATTGTAATTGCAGCTTTAATTGTAATTGCAAAAGGAATCGTAAATACTTGTAATCATCCCTTATAATTATCCTTTTTAAGAAACTTAAAATATAATTCAATAAAGCTTTTAAATCATTTAAATAAATTGCATATTTGTTGAGAATGGCTGAATATACATTCTACTATGCATATGAAAAGTGGTTAGCAAATCCAATAATTTGTGTACAAAATGAAACATTCGTAAGATGTACCCATATATACAATTTAGAACTTAGAATTTAGGCTCATTAAATAATGATCAGATGCTTAATTTTCTTCATGCCTTATTTAATGTGAATAACATACTACTACATACTGAATTTTTCACCAATAACAAGTTTCGAAATGTATCGAAACACCAGGAAGGTGTTTACAAACTTTTTCGATTAAAAATCGCCTTATTTTTAAGACTTGGAACAATAATTTTTAAATCATTTCAATAGACTTTATTCAATGGACATTTTATTCTTTCAAAAATCATAAAATTTGATAACTTCTAAAAAACTTTAACACTTGATTGCCTAAGGAAGTCATTTTGGCTACTTTTAATTTCAATTAGAAAAACAATGATGTACTTAGTGACACAATTTCTGATAATTTTGTACAATATATAATTTTTATATTGTTAATATTAATAATTAACTTGTTATATAACTATAAATAATATAAAAAATATTAAAAATTAATTTTCAACAAATTTCTTTACGCATTATTTATTCTTTTACAATCCAGTCATTTTGACTTCTTTTGGGCAATATAGGTACATACTGAGTTTCAGTCTTTCTAGTGTTAAGAATATATCCTTTACACAGTACTAATTTTTTGAAAAATTATTGAAAACATTTTAAGTCAGAAAAAGTTATATTTTAAAAGTTAAATATTTAAGTATAAAAGAAAGGTTACAGATTACTATGCTTTATTTTGAATAAACTTCATTTTATAACCTATAACTTTGCCACCAGTTTTTTTTATTTATCATTCAATCCGATATAAAAATATGTTAAAAACAATATTTTTAAAGGTTTAAAGGAAAAATTCAAAAACTTTATTTACTTGTTGTAATCACCTCCGTAAGCACAATTAATCTTATAAAAGGAATACAAAAAATGAATTAGATTATTTCCATCAATAACCACCGTAGTATAGAACCCGTTATCCGGAAATCAGAAAACCGGAAAACCAAAAAACGGAAACGAAATTCGGTAAATTTTCCCGCCATTTTTTTTAAAAAAAAAACATTTTTTTTCCTTGTAAGATTTTAGAATTTTTCTTTCTTTTTTAAAAGATGTTTACGTTACCATCATTTTGGAAATAATCATTAGTGTATTACTTAATCTTTTTTTCTTCTTTTTAAGATTATTTCCAGCTTTTTTTTAAAATTGGGTTTCACAATAAAAAAAACGGATTTTTGTAGCGATTCAGAAAACCGGAAAAATCAGTTATCCGGAATAGCGATGGTCCCGATCGTTCCGGATAATCGGTTCCCTACTGTACAATCATGAAGTCTATGGTGTTTAGTGAGTTCCGGATGAGCCTCGATAAAACTCGCTAAACCTCTCACACCCACCTCTTTCGATTTCCTTAAACTCACCGTTAGAATTACGAACTAAATATTGGAAAAACGAACACAAACTGAAACTCATTAAGAAACTATTTGTGCGCAGTTACTATTTTCTTATCTCCGAAGCTGTGTCACTCGCATGCCTTTCATCACTGTTATTGTGTCGAATTAGAGAGTTCCGGTGAAATGGTTTTATCATTTGGTGTTCTTTTTATCTGACGATAATGTATTTAAACAAAATAAAATTTTTTATCTAAACGTTTTCTTTTTTTAATCAAATCACGAGATATGATTCCATGTTAATATACTATACTGGGGAAATCCTCTCTTAAAGCATGAAAAGCTTTATATTAAGAAGAAAAGAAAGAAAGGAAACATTAAAAATCGGGAAAAGTACCTCTGATAACACACCTACATATCGCACCTATCATCTTTTGATGGTTTCTCAGGATTTAAAGATTTCTCAGGAATTATTCGTTCTATTTCGCACAAGTTTTGTAATTCTCAATTTAAAATTACGGTCTTCAAAATTAAGTAAAAAATTGTATGTACGTATAATTTGCATGCACAATAGTATATTACGTAAACTATTGTATACCTTGCAATTTAAAATTTTTTCTATCATTATTAAATAAAATATAAATAAACAGTTATTAAAAATCATTTATTTATGGAATTATCAATGGATAAGCTGGTGTGATTTTTGGAATTATCTATGGAAAGCGAATTTTAAAATTGTATTACAAAAATTTCCAATTCGCTTAAAAAGTTCTCGAGATAGGGCGAAATCCTTAAAAAATAAAATCGACATAAAGGGGTCCAAACTGTCGACCAATTTCCTGACTAAGTTGTTGGCACCATATTTTCCCGGTTGCGGCTACCCCTCTATATTTTGGTGGTCAGAAATTATAAACTGTCGAAAAAAAGGTGTGTTTATTCATAGAGAGAGAACGTTTTCGCGTCTGATATCGAAAATTTTAAATATCACCAGCACAATCTAATTTGGAGTTTCCCTCTCGCACCTTTAAGATTGACTCATAGTAAGTGTTAATTCGTTCATTAAATCAAAAGTTATCTTGGATGTTTTTTCCCCGCGCAGTACAAGGTCTCGTACAATCACGATATGTAGCTTAGCAAGATAACTCTTTTAAAAATTATTACTTTTTGTGTTTTTTTAAGGAGCATTGATTTCTTTTCTATTTTGTATGCTGATACATCTAAAGGGAAAAAAATAAAAATGGTTAAAGAGAAACAAAGGGAAATAAATAATCTTTCAATGTAAGGTAAAGTGGGTTTTCTTTACGACACTTTTTAAGCTTTTCTTTATATATGTTTCTTTAAAATACTAATGTAAAGCTCTGAATACTGAATCATATTATTTAAATTAGAAGGTAAAACTTCATTCCAAATAGTTTTTAAAATTTTTTTTAAAAATTAATAGTAAAAAATTTTATTTGTGTCATTAAGTCGTTACTGTGGATGGGATAAATTTAGGGTACCCAATTTAATAATTAATCTTCAAACCTCTAAAAGTTTTAAACTTCATTAATAAATATGAGAAATTACATAACCTAAATACTTCTAAACTTATAAAATTCTCTCAGTATTTGAGAAAAATCAAAAAA